CAGTTTATTCCGTTAATAAAAACGGCCTGCGTCGCTCATGCACTCGCCAAATGCACCGCGGATAGCACCAAATTCTTACGAAGAAGCCACAACTACAAGCAAAAAATTTTCAGCCAAGAAATGCACCGCGGATAGCATTTAACTCTTACGGAAAAGCCACAACTACAGAAGAAAAATTTTCAGCCACGAATGCACCGCGGAGAGCACCAAACTCTTACGGAGAAGCCACATTTACAGGAGAAAACTTTTCAGCCGAATTTAGCGGCAGTCTTGCAACAACCAACCCAAAGTCTGGCAACAGACTTATGCAACGCCAAAAGTAACCTTGCCGCAGCAACTACGCCCAGCTATCTCCGTCGTTTTTGACGCGAGTATCCATCAAACAAGCAGACGAAGAGAGTCCCGGGATGGGCCATGACAGCTCGTACGGGTTACCGCCAACGCAGCTAAGCCTAACCACTGAGACCTCACAACGTTAGCAAAGAACGTCACACGTTGGCAGGGGAAGGGACTGCCACATTCACCGAGAACCTCGACAAAGTCTCAACGAGACCAACGGCGTAATTTGATGAGAAACCAATCAGCGATACGAAGTAAGATCAGCTTGAAACTACGGCTACAGCTGCCTGACTTTAATTAGGACGTTTCAGTAGTTGTGTGACTTGTGTGCAGTTTTTGCTTTACCTTGGAGTTATTGGCACTGATTTTCTGTATTCTTTACATTTTTAGGTGCCGTGCATGACTTTAATAAATTTCTTTAGGTGTATAGTCTGAGTTCATCTCTCGCAATCGTCCGGATTCTTGACATTCACCTACAATGAAGTAGGAGCATGTGAAACTGGCACCAGGGACGCAGCTGTTTCTTTGGGTGGTCTGCTTCTAACCCCTAGAACATAGTATGCGAAGCGGCGAGGTCTAGTCAGCTTTCTACAAGCACGGCTCTTTTGCGATCAGTTTGGCGATGGCACTGCACGGTGAAGAGGCGGAGAAGGCGCCGGGCTGAAATCTGTGCTTCCGGTCGCGGCCTCATTACATAAAGTAGCAGCAAGACTTTCCCAAAGAGTTTCCACTGGACCTACACCTATACTGACTTCTGCTCAAGGCGCGGTTCATTTCCGTAAATCAAACGAATTCTGTACTGCAGCGGTTCATTCCGTTAATTTAAACGGAATTTAAACGGTTCCTAATTGCCACGGCAGCACCCCGCTCGGACTTCTGCTAGGCGTGGTTTCTTCCTAAATTATAAACCGAATTCTGTAATGCGCGGTTCATTCCCTTTAATTTAAAACGGCCTCTTAATTGCGCACAGAAGCGCCGCGCTCGACTTCTGCTAGGCGCGGTTCATTCCGTAAATAAAACGAATTCTGTAATGCGCGGTTCATTCCGTTAATTAAAACGGAAATAAACGGCCATCTTAGTTGCACGGCAGCACCACGCTCGACTTCTGCTAGGCGCCGTTCATTCCATAAATTAAAACGAATTCTGTAATGCGCGGTTCATTCCGTTAATTAAACGGCCTCTTAATTGCGCAGCAGCACCGCGCTCGACTTCTGCTAGGCTCGGTTCATTCCGTTAATTAAAAAGGAATTAAAACGGCCTCTTAATTGCACAACAGCACCACGCTCGACTTCTGCTAGGCTCAGTTTATTCCGTTAATAAAAACGGCCATGCGTCGCTCATGCACTCGCCAAATGCACCGCGGATAGCACCAAATTCTTACGAAGAAGCCACAACTACAAGCAAAAAATTTTCAGCCAAGAAATGCACCGCGGATAGCATTGAACTCTTACGGAAAAGCCACAACTACAGAAGAAAAATTTTCAGCCACGAAATGCACCGCGGAGAGCACCAAACTCTTACGGAGAAGCCACATTTACAGGAGAAAACTTTTCAGCCGAATTTAGCGGCAGTCTTGCAACAACCAACCCAAAGTCTGGCAACAGACTTATGCAACGCCAAAAGTAACCTTGCCGCAGCAACTACGCCCAGCTATCTCCGTCGTTTTTGACGCGAGTATCCATCAAACAAGCAGACGAAGAGAGTCCCGGGATGGGCCATGACAGCTCGTACGGGTTACCGCCAACGCAGCTAAGCCTAACCACTGAGACCTCACAACGTTAGCAAAGAACGTCACACGTTGGCAGGGGAAGGGACTGCCACATTCACCGAGAACCTCGACAAAGTCTCAACGAGACCAACGCGTAATTTGATGAGAAACCAATCAGCGATACGAAGTAAGATCAGCTTGAAACTGCGGCTACAGCTGCCTGACTTTAATTAGGACGTTTCTGTAGTTGTGTGACTTGTGTGCAGTTTTTGCTTTACCTTGGAGTTATTGGCACTGATTTTCTGTATTCTTTACATTTTTAGGTGCCGTGCATGACTTTAATAAATTTCTTTAGGTGTATAGTCTGAGTTCATCTCTCGCAATCGTCCGGATTCTTGACATTCACCTACAATGAAGTAGGAGCATGTGAAACTGGCACCAGGGACGCAGCTGTTTCTTTGGGTGGTCTGCTTCTAACCCCTAGAACATAGTATGCGAAGCGGCGAGGTCTAGTCAGCTTTCTACAAGCACGGCTCTTTTGCGATCAGTTTGGCGATGGCACTGCACGGTGAAGAGGCGGAGAAGGCGCCGGGCTGAAATCTGTGCTTCCGGTCGCGGCCTCATTACATAAAGTAGCAGCAAGACTTTCCCAAAGAGTTTCCACTGGACCTACACCTATACTGGAAGGTCCTACACCCTTAAGGACGAAATGTCTGAAGATTGCGGCCACATACAATATTCTAACGAGTCCTGTGAGGGGGTTCTATAAATAGTTTTGAGGTGCTGAAGCCGAATATGTGGGAGAAACACCAATACAAGAAGAGTTACATATGTTACCATTCCTTCGGCGAGCCGAGCAAAAGTTTTGCTCTGGCTGTCCGGAGCGAAAATTGCTCTAAATATGGGGAACGCTAGAAGACAAGCGTTTACTCCGACCTCGAAGTAATATTTTACAGTGTAGCGGTGAACAGAGCGTCGGTCCTCGATGAACTGACCAGCAGCGAAGAGCATCGGCATTTATACATTTGCCATCGAATGTTCTAGCGTTATCGCTGGTGCACGATGTAAGTTTCAGAATAATCTGTAATGGCAAAGAAGTGGGCGTAATGCTAATAAGATTATCTACTGTAGCCTCGAAGCTTTTAGAACATTGTTGACGTAGTTTGCGCGGAACATAGTGTAACGGGGTGAAAACAAAACTTGATGTAAGGAGCGTGCATGGCAATACATTTCATTTTCCTTGAATTTTATAAAGCTTTTGACGCCGTTTCCCACCATTCACTCTAGACTAACACTAAGCATGCTGAATATTTACTAGGATATATTATGGTGTACTGAATGCTTCTTGTGTAACAGCACTCAACATGTAACAGCTAACGATCAAAACTCACGTACTTGTTTTGTACAGCAGATCATGCTGAGGCAACAAAAAATTTATATTCAGAGGTTCACTGACAATTACCACTAGGTTTAAGGTTACGAAAATCCCAGTATATATTTTGTATAATCAATCAGCAGTTGCAGCAGAAGCACATGATCGTTAATTCCATTAGGGAATGGCATCAAATTGAGTGCTCTATTGCACAATTGTGGTTAGTTGTTCGTGTATACAAAAATAGGTAGAGTAGCTTGAAGGAAGCGTTTCCGCATTCATTACCCAATCCACCCTGCTAGAGCCGTTTACCCTGAAATCTCCGTAAAAAATGCATTCCTGCCGCCATGGCTGACCGCTATAGGACAATTAAGGGCACGATTGCAGTAGCGGTAAACGGAAGAGACATCGATGTTGCACATAAGCCGGCCTCTCCTTATTGAAGATCTAGCGAGAAAGGGGCTGTTGATTGATATGTGGGGTTTAAGGTCCCAAAACCACCATATGATTATGAGAGACGCCGTAGTGGATGGCTCCAGAAATTTTGACCACCTGGGGTTCTTTAACGTGCACCCAAATCTGAGCACACGGGCCTACAACATTTACGCCTCCATTGGAAATGCAGCCGCCACAGCCGGGATTCCATCCCGCGACCTGCGGGTCAGCAGCCGAGTACCTTAGCCACTAGACCACCGCGGCGGGGCCGAGAACGGGGCTGTTGTGAGTGCGGTTTGTCGCGCTCAGTTCTGCACACTATGTAACTGCTATAATGCTAGATCTTTAAAAAATCGCAGCTGCCAGACTATCTTCTTAGAAAAAAGGATCTAATAACTAAATTTGTAGCAGAAGATTGCAATTTGCAAAAAAAACTGCCAACAATACTGCAACCTTTCGTGAACGCAAGGTGCTGCTTGGCTGACACTCTATCGAAGTTGATGTTAGTGCATGAGTGATTGCTATAGACTCTTAAACTTATGTTTCAGTCAAATCTTTACGCGGTTCCTGAATGGCCCGTTTCATACAGTGCCTCCTCTCTCGTGTTAGTCACTTTCCTTCTTCCTTGTAGGTTATTTCTTGATAGACTTAGCATGCTCGCTATGATGACGATATGTGGGCTTTCATGAACCAAAAGCACCATATCATTATGAGAGACATCGTAAAGGTGGGCTCCGGAAATTTTGCCCACCTGGTGTTCTTTACGTGCACCCAAATCTGAGCACACGGGCCCACAGCATTTCCGTCTCCATCAGAAATGCAGCCACCGCCGCCGGGATTAGATACCGCGACCTGCGGGTCGTTAGCCGACTACCTTATCCACTAGACCACTGCGGCGGGGCTAGCATGCTTCCTAACTCACCCAAATAATTGCTCTTTACAGTATTATTTTTATTTTCCAATCGCACCTCATAAAATAGCCGTTTCGATCGTAGTTATCCCTAGCGCGCTTGCTGTTCAATTTATCGGATACTTCCAAGTTTTTCTATGCATTTTTCATACCGATAACCTTGCGAGAACGCCTAGAGCCATTGAGACGCCCGCACGAAACCTTAAGTCATTGCTGCTGTCGAATGTTTGACTTACCTTGAACCTGAAGGCCACAATTTTTAGGACGAACTCGAGGGCAAAAACGGCGGTGAAAATCATGTTCATGACATCCAGGGCGTACGTGTAGGATTCGGGTTGTCCGTAGAACTGCGAAAAAAAAAATAAAAAACGTGTTACGTTAAGGTTATCTTCAAAGACACTAATGGCAGATACAAAGCACATTCAGATGAAAGGTGAATTTAAAAGCGAGAACTTGAAGGCCTGACCACATGACTACGTGTTAATAAATAAATATTTACGCAAGACACATTTAAACTACGCCATTTACCACGCCCTCAATGTTGTCCCCGATATGTGTGCGAAGTAGGGAAAGCGAAACGCCGGTGGAGCACGCCATGAACAACGATGACAACTGCGGCGCTCGCGATCTGCGCGGGACAAAAAGACGAAGTGCCGAGCTCTGAAGAACAGAAGGTGTTCTTGCAGTGGAGACGCAGTCATTTTCTGATATTGCCCTACTTTAGGCAATTGATATAAAGACTGCTTGTTGAATGGTGGGTGATGCTATTAATGTAACTTATTAATACATGAATATAAGTTACAGTGAAGAACTTGCCTAGTTAGAGCTTTTCTTTAAAAAATCATGCGCAATCTGCATAAAATCGCATACTTTTTTTGCGAACAAAAAAAAATACCTTTAAAAGTGCACCCAACCTTCATCCCAGCCTCAAACCGTATACTGCGAAAATTGAAGAAAAAAAGATTTATGAATCCTCCAAATTGACCCTCAATGTGAACGATGATCTGTAAATAGTACAGTGCTAATTTAGATGGCAGGAAAACCAAGATTAAAGTTTGCAATGAAAAAAAAATCGAAAGCAGAGATGTGCCGACGTTCCCACAAGTATCTTTTTCAGGACCAGGACTGATATCGAAGGATGGTAGAGGAAGCCAAGCCCACTTGTCGAGACGTCGTCTCGAGCGCACAAGCCATGTTTGCAGGTTTTTCAGTGGACATTAATTGTATAGAACGAGATGAGTAGAGTTTACACGTGTTGCATCTCACACCTGTTCTTAGACAAGCATGCTGAAAATGCAACCAAAAGGAGCTCGCCACACTAATGAACTAGTTTGACTTGTGAATAAGACACCTGTTGTGAGTGCCGAAACGTTATTACATTTTTGTTGTGTCGTGGTCAGCGCTTTTGCCTTTTTATTCAATCGTCCGTATAGTTTTATTGCCGCCTCTTAAGAGACCCTGAGTCATTAACCCCCGAATGCAGAGATGTTACTTGGCCGCGCCTTCGACTTGACTTGAGCAAGTCGGCGCGAAGCAAGCAGCGGACTTGAAAATGCTCAAGTCGTCCTTCGCGTTTCATAGATGCTCAGGCTGTCTTGCTTGGTCAAGCCAAGAACGTGCTTCAAACAGAAACACGTTGCTCGCCTGGTAACAAGTCTAATAATGAAGTTGTTTGCGTAATGCACGTGTCAAAGCAAAAAAGTTCGCATATTTCGAAATACATATCTGCTCAAAGTGCTACAAGCATATTTTTGTCGTTTTACTGCTACCGAAGCGCCACATAACACCCACGTGATGCCCGCCGCACCGCGACGCGCAGTGTTGTTTGTGGAAAGCGTCCCTTTTCAGCCGGTTTCAGTGGTCGCCCAAAAAAGGCGAGTTTCTCCAGGTGTTCATTCATCGTATTTTGCTGTCGAATGCAGTTGCACTTCTCTGGGTCGCAAGTGTTAAGAAAGCATAGCGATTTCTCGTCGTACTCGCCTTTCCATTCGCCAATGGACGTGCCTGTAGCGGGCTATGTTGTATTTATACATCAATTAAAAAAACGTAACGCAGTGTACAAGAGAAACGCAATGTACAAAGCCCTGTGGGTGTGCTGACCCGAAAAAAAAAGCTAAATCAAATCGATGCTAAAAGTTAAACTACATTCATTAAGAAGATAAAAAGTGCGGAGTAGGATCGCGGTTTTCTACGGTCCTTTTTTTTTCTAGGAGAGGGGGGGGGGGAACGGCCATAATATAACATTTAGGTACTTTTTTATTTGGTATGTGCATTGTCATTAAAAGGCATTACAGCAGAGATTATATGCGTTATGAATCGAGGGTTTCACGTCCCAAAGCTATGATGTTACTATGAGGAACGCCGTATGGAAAAGTCCCAGAAATTTCGACCACCTAGTGTTATTTATTCGTGCACAGATATGGGCCAGTATAAGGCTATGATATTTTGACTCCACCAAAATGAGACCAAATTTGTTTTCCATGTTAGTGAGGTGCAGGGGGGGGGGGGGGTGCACGATCGCGGTCAGCCTCAGGATGCCTGCTGGAAGCTTTGTCAAGAACAATGAAAAGGGAACAGGCCTGTGAGGTGAACGAAGGGTTTATTTGCCCTTTTGAAATGCATAGCTACGAGGAAATCCGGAGAAAACCTTCGACTCGTTCTTGTCAGGGGAGGAACCACGAGGAAGAGCAGCATTTTTTGTAAAGTTTTTGTAGCTTTGTGCTGCAGATTGATGCCTGGCGTTTTTTGCAACCCCACACGGCTGCACGAAACGAGAAAAGAATTCCTGGAATGTCTGCTAGGAAATGACTTTTGGGGAAAGCAAGGCCCACCGCGTCCCTTTTCTGAGCGACATCGTCGAGTCAAGGAGGAAGAACTACTCACTCCGAGATGTCGCAGCAAAGTATGCTATCGTCCCAAGAGACACCTACACGTAACGCGGCCCCGCGCTTCACCGAAGACGAAAAGACTGTGCTTATCGCTCTCTTGGGAGAGTTCAAGCACATCATCGAGTACAAGAAGACTGATGTTGCGTCGGTAGAGAAAAAAAATGAAACATGGAAAGAGATTGCCAAGTACTTCGATTCCAACCACGGAATCACCCGGCGTGACCACGTGCAGCTCAAGAAATGCTGTAATAGCCTCAAACAAAAATTAAAGAGGAAGCTGCAAGAGAGAAGCGAGAGCGCCACAAAACTGGTAAGCGAAACATGATATGCATGGCTGGATCACTTTTGATCTTCAACATGTTTTGTATTCGGGAGAAATGTAAGCACTGAGTGCAAATAGCCATGATCATTACATTTTGCAGTGCATAGAGAAAAAAAGAAGTACTCAAAATCACATTTTCCTCGAAGAACTGCCTTGAAGTTGGCATATAACATGCATAATCGGTGCAAACAGTTCTCGAGCACTCGATTAGGATGAATTCGTAGACAACTGACGCACTTCGTTCTTTTAAGGAAAATGCGTATAGCGCGTTCATGTTTGTTCTTCGCAATGTTTTGCTATTTTTTTCTTTGAGTTGAACCAGGTAAACTACATTACACTCAACTCAGGAGGAAGGAACATTGGAACCGCAGAGTTTTTTTTTTTTGTACAAGATGATTATGAAAACTTGCTTTATTCTGCGATGAAACTTTATTTCTGATTGGGAGGGGGATCTGCACCTTCGGCCATGGCTCCTGTCTACGAATCGGTTGGATCCATAGCTTCCCACATGGCGACAAGGGTGGAAAACGCCTTTGATTCGGATGCCTCAGGGTACCAGCCCCCCGTCGCAAGTCTGCCTGGGGTGAGGCTACTGCACCCTGTGACTGATAGTCGAAATGAAGCGGACTTTGATTGCCAAGGCATGGTGTGTTGCATTTTAAAGTGTAACGATGATCTCAAAAATTTAACCATTTGTATTTCCCAGAAATGCCTCTTCTTTGCATGTTGTGGTGTACAGGTGTTTGCGTTATAGACAATGCTCCACTAGTACCATTATGCCATCTTTTCTTTATTGCAGAAGATCTGTGGCAAGGTGCCAACCCTGTAGAGCTGTTACAGCTGCCAACAGGCACAGATGCCGACGAGGACAGCAGGTGCACTTCTATAGCACAACCTGATGCAGAAGCAAACATTTTTGTGGAAGGTTGTGCAAACAGCCACTAAGACACCAGAGCTGCTCGAAGCAGCACTCCTGCAGCAACTGTTGCTGCTGAAGCATACAGGACACCCAGAGGCCGGATGGCTGTTTTGGAAAAAACACTGGCCTTGAAAAATGCGATTCGTGCAGAACTCCAGAAAGAAGAGCGCGCAATGCGTATCCGGCTTATGCGAGAGGACCACGATTACAAGACGCGGGAACGGGAAGACAAAAGAAAGTTCGAAAATCAAGTGCGAGATCTCGAGCTTTCAAAACACAAAAATGAGCTTGAAAAGCTAAAGCTTGAAGTTGACATGCTGAAGATAGGAAAGGAATAAAGAAGGAACAGCTCCGCAGGCTGCAATGCGACGTGCCTCATTTATAAATAAATGATGGGACATCTCATAAAGTGATGAAGGCATGTCTGTGTATATTTATTTTCATGCATGGTTGATAAACATATGAGCGTGCACAGCAGCCATAAAAAGTGTTTGTATGGCCGAGTGTCAAGATTTATGCAGTTTTTGACTATGTGAAGTTCTTGCGTATGAGCAGGTCCCGTGATTGATTAACGGCTGTCGGTGAGGCGATCAACAGGTGGCAGGTGCACTGTTCTGGTTGCCACTGTACTGATAGGGGAAGGCTGCGGAACCCTTTGAGCGGGTGGCTCTGGTTCCCTTAATAAGCAGGCCAAGTTGTGGAGTGCAGCACAAGCTGTGATTATGTGCACGATGTTTTTGGCCTTCTGCTGCATTCCGATGTCCAGGCAAGGGAAACGCCTCTTCCACACGCCGAACGCCCTCTCAACAACGTTCCGAGTCTTTATTTGGGCTTTTTGGTACCTGGGCGAATAAAGGAATATTGTGCATCACTCCACAAGCGACTGGAATCAATGTCACACTCCAAAAACGTGCTCCGACTTTTTCTGACCATGCACTGACACGTGAACTAACCTTCCCTTGGGTGTGTCCGTGGGGCCTGGTTCTGAAAACGGTGTAAATAAAAATGGCTAGCATGCGTATCCAGCGTCGCCCAACAGCACTCCGGGCACCCGGTTTTCTTCGTACAGCACCCGCAAGCGGGAGTTGTCAAAAATTCTGCTGTAATGAACCGAGCCGGGCCAGCCGGAAACATTGTCGAAAAGCTGGAGTTCTGGTCCAGCCACAGCCTGCAGCAGCATACAAATAATCATAAACAGGGCATTGTACGGCGCCTTTCACTTTGCGGGTTTGGTATAAAGTACATGCACAGCAGAAATGAATGTTGTTGCACAGAGTCATGGTCGGTCAGAGTTTATTTTGATAAGAAGATACAAACAGTACTGTTCCTTCGAAAATATTCACGAAACCTGCCTTTCGGAGAAAAACTCGAGTCCACCAAAACAAAGCACGAAGGCGCGAGTGCTGGGCCCCTCGAATAACTGCTGCATTATTTTTTCTCTTTACTTATTTCGCTAATGCATGGAAACAATGGCTAAACACAAGCACGTTGTTTATTGTATGGAAAAAAGTTTACTACCCGAGTATTAATTGAAAAAAGAACGAACTAAACTGTTTAGAGAATTCAAAATTTTTTTGCTTACCTGCACATTGAATAAGAAATAGCCTTTGCGGTTGGAAACACTTCGGCATTTTCAGCGCCGGGGTTTTTAATCCGCACGTGCGTGCAGTTCATGCATCCCGTCACTCCAGGGAATTCGGCCACTTCAAAGAAGTTCCGCATAACTTGTTGAAATTCCGCCGGCTGCGCAAAGCGCACTAGTATAGAGTACAAGTGCTTTGCTATCAGCATGGTCACTTTTCCGACTGCGCGGCACACTGTAGACTGCGGAATGCGGACGAGATCCCTGGTCACTGTTTGAAACGTCCCAGCGCCGTAAAATTTCAGCGCCCTCAATAGCTGCAGCATAGGAGGCACAGGCTGACCTCGATTGTCCCCGCTTTCTTGGAGCGGCAGCATAGACAGCAGCTGCCGCACGGCGTGCTTCGTGAACCGGTAGCGAGCGTGGAATTGTTCCTCGTGATAGAGCTCCATAGGATCTCCTCGGTCACGAAGGGCAGGCTGTGAAATCTTCGGCAGGTAATGGGCCTCCGAAAACACAACATCCATGGCGTGGCACGCGAACTCAAAAGCGGCCAACCTCCGCACGACGTCCATTCGAGAGGTGGCCATGTTGGAATAACGCATGAAGTCGCTTTCAAGCAAGCCCCGCAGCTGACTTGAAACTTGTCCTGACTTCGACCGAGCCAAGTCGCTTTCAAGTCATCCACAAGTTCGAGAACGATTTATGGCGACCCGCAAGACGGTCTTGAGTCAAGAACGAGTCAAGTACGAGTCAAGTAACATCTCTGCATTCGGAGGTAAGTCTTCCTTATCGCTCATTTTTTGATAAAAAACCAAGACAACGTGAGCACTAAGCCTTAAAGGCTCATTCACACCGAAGACGGCGGCAAAGCAGGCTTTTCGAAGCGACGAGGCAGTGAGTGCGTGAACCTGCTCAGAACACATGGTGGTGGTAGTGGTTAAAAGAAAGAGGAAAAAGGCACCTAATTTCTGTCTGCCTTCAGGCGACACGGCGCAGTGCCTTATATGGGTGGGGGGAAGGAGGGATAAAAAGAATAGAAGGAAAATAGACCAAGAAGAAGACAGGCAAGCGACAGAAAAAGAAGGAGATAGGAAAGTGGGGATCCGGTCGAAGCAGTCCAAGGGCGGGGTGCCACAATGCGAGAGCTACACGGCGTCAGGAGACCGCGGAGGGCGAACCAGTCGGTGGGAGCTTCGCTGGCGTCGGAGATCGCGAGGGCACAACCGTCCAGCTTGAAATCCTGCGAGCGAATCTCAGAACACATGCCTCCTTCGGCTGGCTGCGCGGCGAAGAGGCGGGCATCTCGCACTTTCATGCACGTGTCACTATGACGTGGCAATGCTTCTTCTCCAAGAGGCAAACCTCCGCCACCACCGCGCTTGCTTGGCTGCGGCAAGAAATTGCTCCGAGAGAGATCGCCCTCTCCACCTCGTTTTCTCCCGCTTTTGGCGCCTGGGGGGGGGGGGGGGGGTTCACTACTTTCCGCTTTGTCACCTTGCCCCTTTGGCCACCCCGCCTTCTGTGAGAACGAGCCTCAACGCTATCACCAATTCGCGCTTTTTAAGTGCGATTGCACTTTGTAAAAGACCCTGAATCCACCGACCTCGGTGTGCCTCCTCATCTCCCCTAGCAACGGCGCGAAGAGCGGAGAGGAGCGTCTGTAGCAACGGCGCAGTGACGTCACACACCATGTGAGTACGTGCGCTCTGCCCTCCGCTCCGTGGCTACGCGCGCAGCCACGACTTGCTCAATATCGGCAAGTCGTCATAGGTATGGATCCATCGCAGGCATCAACCTCGACCTGCGATACCTCCAACAACGAGTACAACGCAATCGAATGCGAGCATTGCACGCGTCGTTGAAGATGTCTCGCCGGTTGGAGACAAGGCAGCACGGCGAAGGACCCGTGATGCCGAGCGCAAGCGAGCAAATTGGGCCGTGGACGTAAACATCAATATAGTGCGAATTGACTCTCACATATACGCGTAAACTCACCAAGATTTCTCGAGAGGGTCTAATGGTTCCAGGGAATCGCAATGTGATCACATGGAGGAGTTTACTTCAACTCACTGGCGAATGCCAACGGATTTTAACTTTACTCCCCCTCATAGCATTACCCCATGCATTCGCACTGATCCATGTTCAAACTCGGGAAAATGCTTGGGAGTTTTTTGGACTTAGTTATAACCACTCGCGGAGCCGAAAGCACACAAAATGATCGAAGCAAATCGTACTTCTGGGTACAGCATTCATGCGACGAAAGACTGCCTGACAAGACAGGGCGAGAGACTATTCGCACTTCGTATTGGTTTGGTATATGGACAAATCTGACGCTATTTATTCGTGACGTCACGCGAACAGAATACTGATGTCGCGATTACAAATGACGGGAAAGAATTATGAGTACTTTCTTTTTTTTTTCTTTTTGTATTTGCCGCACTGGTTTCCGGGGCCCATTAAACTGAGGGTATGCCCCGCGAGCTACCACGCAGGTAATAATTATGCAGGTAATAGTCTTGTATGCAACTACCATGCAGGTAATTGTCATGTACAGACACAGCTCCGCATTATTGCGAGGCTTGACAGGAAAAAAGAAAAATACTGACCTACATAAGAAGCAGAAGCGTTTTAATATTCATTTCATCTTGAGGCCAGCAATGAGAGAGACAAAGAGCAGTGTGTGCTGTGTGCACTACGAAACGGCAAAACATTGTTACACAAAGTTTTAGCAATGTTAGAAAAAGCTGCTTTTGTGTTTTCTGATCTGCTTAACCCCGTCGATACCTGCCGCATTACGTTCATTTATCCAGAATCCGGGAAATATAAGAAAATAGATACAAACCATCCTGCCTATTAAGAAGCGCTGTTATGCTCTAATGCTGGTTATAACTAACGCTAATGTATAGATACGAAGGTCACAACCGCAAGTGGAAGTGGTATGTGTCATTTTGGCTTACAGATGTGGTTTGTTCAATCCTTTGAAGATAAGTGACAATTACCGCAGCGAAGAAATATTTTTTTTAGTATTCTTAGCTCATACTTCTTATAAACAACGCATTTTGGCGTAAATAACCGACAATTCAGTCAGGTGGACAACTTGCAAGTGATGCACACTTGCGAAAACATGACAGAGAGGACGTAGAACTACTGAAACTTATTAAACAACGCTGAGCATACTTGTGCTTCTGTATGGTCGTCGTCGTTTTCACGCTGATTCTTCTTTTTTGAGTATTTATTAAATACTATCTCGTGTAAAATTGAAACAGTCCACTTCCAATTAACACACAGCGCTTCACCATAAAATGAAGGTACGCGCGATGAAACCTACCGACAGCCCCACACTTTCTTACAGAACAGTTCAGTAATTTTGGAACGTCCAGTGCTCACCTTCATGGCAAGGGTGAGGGTATTGGTCATGATGAGCACGAAGAGGGCGTACTCAAAATACTGAGACGTGACGAACCACCACATCTTGTACTGGAAGCGGGCCTTCGGGATGTAGCGCCGCACGGGTTTCGCTTTCAGGGCGAACTCGATACAGTTTCTCTGCGTCGTGGGAAAGGGTTGAAAGAGTCTGTGGCATTACAGAAAAACTGTGCAGTGAAGACATGCGTATAAAATTAGCGTGTACATTGTAGCTCGATGCAGCACAAAAGAAAAACAGTCACAGTTTCACTATAAGGGAGATCAACGAATGCGATAGCAAGAAATGGTATTTCACACGAAGAGTAAAAAGTAGCTCGATGCTTGCAACGCACCGCTGAAGCAAAAAGATGGACGCCCGAAAAGAACACGCAGGTATAACCATAGCGCAAGCGTGGGCTAGCAAGTGTCCCAACTCTGACATCCTTGTGTTTGAGCAGCTCAGTGCAAGTGACGACAACGCAGTCTGGTGCTCTGAGATCATTTTTCTTTTAACTGCGGCGCTACGAGTGCCTCCTCTGAGTTTCCAGCCAAGGTGTTCACGGCGTCCATTTTTAACAACAAAAGCGGCAAGTGGCTGGGTGAAACAAAAAACTTAACCCCGAGAGCCGATAAACGTCTCCACTAGCTTCTCCGTCAGATATGTCCTTCTCTGGATCGCACTCAAGCGCGCCAATGTGAGCGCTTTCAATGACGTCGATCATCCCTTCTCAGCCGGGCAACCGAGCCTGTACGCAGCAGTTTCAACGGAGTGGCTTTGAAAAAAGAAAAGTGAAGAAAATAAAAATGCAGGTCACCTAAACAGCACTGCAGAGGAACGGGGAGAAGAAGAGAAAAGAATGTAGGAGTCAAAGGAAAAGAAAATATTGGAGGTAGCTCGGCACCATCCTGTTCGCGCTCGTGCGCATTGCCTATCAGCGAAAAAAAGCCGTCAAGCAGCTTGCCACGCAAAGGAGGGCCAGTGAACTGGGAGCGCGGAAGGAACACAGACACGAAACAAAGAGGAGGCACACAGCATGAGCGCTCGTGCTGCGTGCCTCCTGCGCTCCCAGTTTGCTGAACAATTAGGAATTACCAAGTGGCCCACTTTTCCATCCTGTTGCGAGGGATGACAACAAACATCACACGGCGGGCTCACTAGCGCGTGAATGAGTTCGGTGTGACAGTGAGGTTATGAACCTCAGAAGGGCTGACCACTCTCCATGAACAGCACCGACAGCTGATCCATGAACGAATTCATGTTTGCCGGGCTCATGTAGCCATGTGAAACGTAAGCAGAGAATGGCGTAGCAAAGATCCGGCAGCCTCCCAAGCCTAATGAAAGCGACGACGGCCCGCCGAAGAAGCGGCTTTGAGGGCTGAGATAAAGCAGAGTGCCATCAACGTGGCAACGGTGGGAACGTGTTCACCGGGGCCGATGCCAGCTTTCAGAGAGAGTTTCTCGAGTTGCACTTTCGCTTATGCTATCACCTCTTCAACCACATGTAGTCGCTTGTTACAGCTTCACTGGTGGGAGCCGATTTGTTTTTTTTTAAAGGTGAAGCTCCTTAGGGCGAGATCTGGCGGGTTGTGAAGCGGTGTCGATCATCATCCTCTGTACCCCGTAGTCCCTTACAGATGCATGCAAGGTGCAGTTGGGTGAAAATATACTACGTCATGCTGCATGCATTCTACTTCAAACCTGAAGCATTTCTTAGCGAACTTCGGCGACCTTGTGCGTATCTATCTATCTCTAGTCATGTAGTTATGTAACATCAAGACTACATGCCACGCTCATGATGCGCTGACGGCCGTTTCGCTAGCTTCAATTATACCAAATTTAGTATTACGGGACGTGAATGAATGTCGAAGGTATGATACTGGTGCAAACATGATAAACATGAGATACGTGTCATGTAGCAACTTGACTACATGCTACGCTCATGATGCGCTCGCGGCCGTTTCGTTAGCTTCAAACGTACCAAACTCGGTATTACGTGACATCAATGGATGACAAAGGTATGTGACTGACATGATAATCATGAGATTTGTGTCTTGTATGAACATGACTACACGCCACAGTCAAGACGCCCATACATTTCGACGTGACGCGGTGCGCGTGCTCGCTGGCGTTCATTTCGTCGCGTCACGCCGGCGTTGCCACACCAGCCGCTAGTCCTGCCATTTACTCGCAGGCGCGCGCCGCGCTGCGTTGTCCAACGCATGCGCGTTTCAACGCATCTGGCGTACCTCCGTCACGAAAAGAGGGAGACACAGTGTCGTTTGGGTAACGATTCTGCGCGAAATGCAGCATGTTTCATTTCGAGCCGGTTGACACCGGGCCGCGTCGGCGGAGGCTGGTCGCGGCTGGTGTCCAACTATGGAGTGCCCGTGCTTTACTAACATAACGTCGCTGTGCCCAGTGTGCGCGCGCGTCAACACTACATAGGAGTATACTTGGCCTTTCATGATGTGATCGCGGCCGTTTCGCTTGCTCCACATATACCAAATTTAGTGTTACGTGACGTAAACGAATGACGACATATATGACTGGTGCAAACATTGTAACCCTGACTCGCTTGTCATGTAAGAGCATGACAACATATTACGCTCATAATAGCGTGCTCGCGGAAGTTTCGCCCACTCCACGTATATTAAATTTCCTATCAAGTCACGTGATTAGATGACGAAAGTAGACGACACATCCAAACATGATAATCATGACACGGAAGTCATGCATGGCATCATTTACCTCCAGCTCGTAACGTTGTGCTGATTTTAAAGTGACATATCCACATTTCTCATTCGTTCTTCACATATCATCGATTATTACTGCACGTGGGGTCTGCCAACATTTCATCTCGTTTCTAAGAGGGCGCTGTCCCATAGGAATGCGTACATTATGGCGATTGGGTGAAGGTACGCTAGATGGCGTTGGTGTTGCAGATGCTCTACGATTGGCTAATGCGCGGGTTGTGCAGGGCTCTGCCGGAGCACATGTGCTCTCATTCTCCTGCGTCGATTGCATTTATATCTAGTGTTTAACGTCCCGAAACCTTCATATGATTTGAGAGACGCCGTAAAGGAGGGCTCCGGGAATTGAGACTACCTGGGGTTCCTTAACGTGCATGTGGTATTTTCGCCAACATCGAAAATGCAGCCGCCGCTGCCGGGATTTGATCACGTGACCTGCGGGTCAGCAGCCGAGTACCACGGCGGGGCTCTTGGATCGTTGTAGTTCGAGTGCGCTTGCCGAATCAAGCGCCGGGGCTCATGCTCGTCGGCAGGATGCCGATGTGCGGACGGACAGGCGCGCGAACACATGAAAAAACGGACAGATGGATGGACGCTTGCGCGCTTGGCCACACTCATCATCATTCATTCCGTGGATAGGCTGCATTTTTTTTTCGTTCCACATCACGAGTAGGTACAAAAAGGATCCACTTTCTCTTCCACGTTTGAAGGGCAATTTTCAAAGTGAAAAGAACTGTGATAGCGTTAAGTGATAGAAAACACTTAGAAGCTCCTCCGAGATCTGCGTACCGTCAAAGGTGAAGGGTGCATAATAATAAGTGTGTTTACGCCGGCAATTGTATAGAACTTGGTAAAGTTGTCTACGCAGTGGGCTCGCTGCCTGAAATCTCCGGTATTGTGTTTCATAGTTTCGGTCTTTTATTTTGTTTGTTTTTTGTTTTTGTATATATGTATACGTTCTTGTGTCTGGGAGTCCAGACCGAACGTCTTTGCTTCTGCAAAGGAAACCATTGTCAAGGCCAGCGAGCGAGCCCGCCTGACGCCTTCACCTGAAAGACATCTAGCCCGGCGGCGCTGGTGTGTCTTACGCAACACACGGCAACCTCTCTCCATGCACGGGTGCCGTGGTTCCAGCCAGATGATGCAATCGACGCCATCCAGCCTGCAGAGTCTAACGTAATGTGTGGCAGTACCACTCGCGCATGGATGCAATCTAGCGCGGTGGTTACTGATTGGAGCATGATGACGCCACGAATAGCGGCACATTTGATTGGACGTTGCTGACGTAAGGGTTACCCGGAGCCTAAAAGGAGCAAACGGCACGATGCCATGGAGCCGAGATGAGAGCGAAGACAACAGCGTCAGGGCGTCCGAAGCCATGGTGGCTCTTCGAGTGCCTGGACTGTCGGCCCCGCCAGTGACCTTGGCAGTGGCGAGATTCGTAAAAACGTACACATGAATATCACGCACATGACGGCAATGGTGACTGTGAAAATCAGCCGAGAGGGTCCATAATTTGCAAGAGCAATAGTATGATATTGCACAGGACAAATACGTCCAAAAAAATTGGCAGATCCCACGTGCAGTGGGAATCAATGATATGTGAAGCACGAATGAGAAATGTTGACATGTCCTTTTAAAATCAGCCCAACGTTACGAAGTGGAGGTAAATGATGCCGTACATGACTTCCGTGTCATGATTATCATGTCTGGATGTGTCGTTTACCTTAGTCAACTATTCAGGTCATGTTATACCAAATGTAGTATATGTGGAGCTAGCAAAACAGCCGCGAGAACGCTGTAAGCGTGGTATTTTGTAATGTTCCTAGATAACGCGCGTGTCAGAATTATCATGTTTGCACCAGTGATATATTTGGTAATTGATTGATGTCACGTAACATCAAATTTTGTATATGTGAAACTAGCAAAACGCCCGCAAGCGCATCATGAAGGGCTAATATATTCCAATGTAGCGTGGACGCGCGCTCACAGCTGGTCACAGCTACGCTACGTTAGCCAGACGCGATCACTTATAGCCTGATGCCAGGGGCGACCTGCGTCCATCGGCGCTTGCTCGACAGCAACCGGCACTGAAATGCGACATGCTGCCTTTCGCGCCGATGTGTTAAGCGCGAGAAAGACGTGCGATTATCCGTTCGATGTGGCGTGCGGTGTCGCATGGTGCGGCGTGCTGCATGCGACGTTTTGGGACACACGGGGACGAAGGAGCTATCAGCGGCAGGCGCCACCCCAATGCGGCGCCTCAGCATGCGTGATCGCACGTCTTTGTATCTTTGTAATGAAGCTCAAAACCAACAACGTTGCACGGGCATGCTTCTTTCCATAAAAAATATGAATAAAACGTCTCTGTGAACGACAAGCACGTCGCA